GACCATGTTACAGGTTTTAAAGAATTATTCACCAAATTTACAACTTATTCAGAGCACCCACGGGTTCAGGTTGCAAATAATACTTATGCAAAGGTTATGGGTTCAGGCACTGTTGTTGTTTCAGCAAACATAACCTTATCTAATGTGCTCTATGTGCCAGACATTAAATGTAATTTACTGTCTGTAAAATGTATAGCCTATCAAGTAAAGTGCCTTGCTATCTTTAACCAATTTCACTGTGATTTTCAAGACTTGGCTTTGGGGAAGGTGATTGGCAAGGCTAAGGAGTGTAATGGGCTCTATTATCTACAAGGCAACTCAACCACTAAAGGGTCCGTGGCAAATTCCATCTCAGCTTTTACTTCTGTCTCCTCTATGTCTCACGAAGACACTATGTTATGGCATTCTAGACTAGGTCATCCAAACTTTGATTATATGAAAATTTTGTTTCCCAATTCCATGAAGAAAGATTTCACATTTCATTGTGACACTTGTCAATTTGCCAAGCAAACCCGAAATTCTTATCTACCTAATCCTTATACACCTACCCAACCTTTTGCCCTCGTCCATAGTGATGTTTCGGGCCCATCTAAAGTTGAAACTAATTCCAAGGCTAAATGGTTTGTTACTTTTATTGATGATCACACTCGGTTCACATGGCTTTTCTTAATGAAAGAAAAATCGGAAGTGTTCACTATTTTTAAAAAATTTTATGCCTTTATCCAAACTCAATTTCAAAATTCCATTAAAGTTCTTTCGAAGTGACAATGGGAAAGAATATATCAATTCAAATTTTCAATCTTTTCTCATTGAAAAAGGCATACATCATCAAAGATCGTGTGTACATACCCCTCAACAAAACGGAGTGGCAGAGAGGAAAAACAAACATCTGTTGGAAGTGGCAAGAGCTCTTTTACTTGACAAAAATGTTCCAAATAATTTTTGGGGAGATGCTATTCTGACTGCTTCCTATCTCATTAATAGGTTGCCTTCAAAAATTTTACAATTTCATATGCCTCTACAAAAATTTTTGGACCATTTTCCTCATTCTCACCTTATTAACCCACTACCAACACGTGTCTTTGGTTGTGTAGCATTTGTATTTGATGACAGTGGTGGAAAATTAGATCCTGGGTCTATCAAATGTATTTTTCTGGGTTATTCCCCTACTAAAAAGGGATATAAATGCTACTCTCCAGCCACTAAACGTATATATGTCACTATGAATGTTAAATTTGTTGAGTCTCTACCATTCTACCCCAAATTACCCATTCAGGGGGAGAGTGATAGTGAACGGGTTAATTTGTGCTCTGAGGGTGATCATTTAAGTAAAAGGCAGCAAACACAGCAAACAAATATCCCTATGGTTGGGTCCCCATCATCACCCACTATCTCATATCTTGATACTGGTCCTATTTCTACACCTCCAGCATCTATTCCTACACCTCCAGTAGTAGAACACTCAGATCCAGATCCTGAAATACAGATTCCTGAACCAAACATACCTGAGAACCAAACAGAATTGATATCTACTCTTCCTCATAGTCCAGGTCTAGAATCGCAAGTAAATGAACAAAGGGAGAATCAGATGGAACAGACGAGAGACAGTGAAGATTCCATTACACTTCCAAGGCCAAGTCATGAAACTCAACCCGAGGCTAATCCTGGAGATCTTCAGTAGCCAATTGCTCTAAGAAAAGGGAAAAGGAGTTGTACTAGACATCCTATAAGCAGGTATGTATCTTATGACAAACTCACTCCTACATTTAAAGCTTTTGTGACAGCTGTGGATAATGAGGAGATACCTAGAACATTTGATGAGGCTATGACTAATCCACATTGGAAATTAGCTATTGAGGAAGGATTAAATGCTCTAGCTATGAACCAAACTTGGGAAATTGTTGATCTACCTTGAGGAAAGTCTGTTGTGGGAAGCAAATGGGTGTTTCCTAAAAAATATAATCCTGATGGGAGTACTAATAAGTACAAGGCTAGACTAGTTGCAAGAGGTTTTACTCAAACCTATGGCATTGACTAGCAGGAAACCTTTGCCCCAATTGCCAAATTTCATACTATAAATGTGTTGTTATTTCTTGCTGCAAATCTAGATTGGCTATTACGCGAAGATGTCAAAAATGCATTCCTAAATGGGAACTTGGAAGAAGAAGTGTACATGGAAATACCCTTAGGGCTACAGAGCTTAGAACATCCAACCAAGGCATGTAGGCTTCGCAAGTCTCTATATGGGTTGAAACAGTCACCTAGAGCCTGGTTTGGAAGGTTTACCCGTGCAGTCAAAGGGTTTGGATACCAGCAGATCATACCTTGTTTGTTAAACACTCTAACCAGAAAATGACCGTGTTAATTGTGCATGTGGATGATATAGTATTAACAAGTAATGATGTTGAGGAAATTGCAGAACTGAAGAAAAAATTGGCTACAGAATTTGAGATTAAGGATATTGGAAATTTGAGGTACTTAGTGGGTCTCAAAGAAAATATACCCTAGATCTACTAAAGGAAACTGGGATGCTAGGGGCAAGACCTGCTAAAACTCCTATGGAACTTAATTATAACTTGAAGTGAAGCCAGATGGAAAGGCCATTAATAAGGAAAGATATCAAAAGCTGGTGGGAAAATTGATTTACTTATTTCACACTAGACCAGATATATCCTTTGCTGTAGGGGTTGTAAGTCAATTTGCCAGCAATCCTCAAAAGGAACATATGGAGGCTGTATACCGAATTCTAAGGTACACAAAAACCACTCCTAGCAGTGGTTTATTCTTCTCTAAAAATAACCGAAAGAATGTGGAAATATACACTGATGCAAACAAAATTCCGGGCACTAAGAAGGATATTGAAGTATACACAGACGCTGATTGGGCAGGTGCAATTAATGATAGGCGCTCTACCACAGGATATTGTACTTTTGTTTGGGGCAATCTGGTGACTTGGAGAAGTAAAAAACAACCTGTGGTGTCAAGGAGCTCTGCTGAATCTGAATATAGGGCTCTAGCTCTTGGGATTTGTGAAGGAGTTTGGGTAGTATGACTACTAAAAGAGCTTGGTATAGAAGTATCACCGGTTAAAATGTGGTGTGATAGTATGGCTGCTCTCAAGATAGCTAATAACCCAATTCAACATGTCCGTACAAAACATGTTGAGATTGACAGACATTTCACTAAGGAGAAGATTGATGCTAAGGTGATAGATCTCTCCTACATTGCTTCTAGGAAGCAAATAGCAGATATGATGACTAAACCACTGGGAATGATCAACATCTATTTGCCAGCTTGAGGGGGAGTGTTGGAAGCGGGCCTAAGTCTCAAGCCCACTTAACCCTAATTTACTCTCCTACCTTAGTGCAACAACCACAAGACTTCACTCTAATATTCTTTTAATTAGTTTTTTATTGTTGCATTATCTTAAGGATATCAGATTATTATTTCCGGTTTTATCTCTTATAATTTTATTTAGATAGATACGATATGATATGGGAAACTCTCTCCCTCTCCTATATGTATCGGTTTCTTGAATGAAATAAAGCAAACAGCGCTGCGTTTTCACAGTTTCAGTTGAGAAATAAGTGGGATACCCACTTTAACGTTTTAGTTAGTTCCAGATTTCTGAGCTGGTTGTTATCTTTGAATTATCAACATATTTCCTCTCTGTAATTCATTATAAAAAGGTTTATTGGCCTCCAGAATAAGATACGTCATTTTTCAGAGAGTATATTCATACTGGAGATTCTCCTTGGTCTTTTAGAGAGTGTTTGTGAGATACCTACAATTCTTTCTATCAGAATTTCCCTTCAATACCTTTTGTTCCTACCTATATTTATTATCGAATTCTGGTTCCTATCAAACCACCATCCTGAAAGGGGAGTCCATCTATGTCTTAGATTCATATTCGTTTTGTCTAGTTGTACTTTCAAGTATGGAGTTAGACTAGATTCAGATTGTGCTCTTGGAGGATATTGTGTATTTGGATTTGATTGTGAGGCATCCCTTGGTGAATTCCTTGATTTAGAGTAGGTTTGGTTGAATTCTCATGGCTGGTTTAACACTTGTTTGCAACTGAACGAATTGTTATATGGTAAATTGGCTGAAGATATCGTGGGAATTCTCGGCCCATCTGTTCTTAAGAATGCATACATTCTTCTAAATGCAATTGGCTCCATTACTTTACTAGGTTATGAAGGTTATGTCACCACTCTTGGGAAGATCCATCCATTGTTGCCAACACTTGCATCTCTGTCATTTACACTCTCACTAATTTTAAAAAAAAAAAAAAAAAAGAGACGTACAGACATTAGGTAGAATGGTTACGATAATTCAGATAGGAACACTCAATGTTACATCCACAAGATAATTTTGCAGCACTCGCATTGACTAAGGATCTAAGACACTTAGGATCCTTGAGAGATCAACACTTTTGTGGACTAACTGCATTAACTAGGGTTACTAAATTTGACCCCCAATGGCAAGGAGATTGACAATTCCAAATTCAATTTTGAGAAAAGAATACATACATTTGCAAGGCAATTAGAGTACTAGTCTTGGGTTTGTATAACTTCGACATAACATCAAGTATTTAAAAATTAGAAGTGAGTAAATGGCTTTAAAAATTTAACTATCAGATTTTAATGATCTTCACAGCATTCCCCATGGGGAGAGTAATGGAACTAGGTTATGAAAAGTACTCCACTATCCAGATAAAACAACCAAACTGTCCACTAGAAATTCAAGTGATAAACTAGTTGCCATGACAACTATACATGTACGTATTCTTTCTTTGAATAAATTCATTTCAGAGTATTATTATAAACTCCAAATTTCTACAAATCCCAAGGAGGAACTTGACCAAGCATAATACTTAAGCCACTGCCAGCATAATGAGACAAATTTCCTCTATCCATCTTTTTTCCCTTTCCTTCCAATAAGAACTAGAAATATTAAAGAGCTGAACAACCCCACAAAACAAAATTAGACTAGCAAACCTGGAGTGAAGGGCAACGATGGTGCTTTGTAAACTCCTTTCCGAAAGTAGACATCAATAAAATTAACCCCAACAGCTTTGTTCCTCACACGAATCTCACCTTCTTTTGGTTCTCCAATGTCCACATCATCCCACTTTAGGACCTACTATCATTATGCATCATCAAAATATCAAAATAATGAAGTAAGACCGAAGAAATCGGACCACAACATTGCCAAACAAAAACAGTTTAGGAATGTGTATACGTAAAGAAACAGCAAATGATTTTGGGGGGGGGGGGATATTCAAACATCTGCAGAGTTAGACTATTTACACGAAAGAAATACAGAAATGATTCCTTCTACTTTTTCGTCTTAACGAAAGATGACATAATTCTAGTTATAACCGGAACACTATCGAATTTAAAAACAAAAAACTAGTAGAAAGATCGCAGGAGACAATACTGCAACAGACATAAAATGAAAGGAGAAAAACACATAATAACATTTGAAGATATAAGGAATTTAATAAGAGATGGTTATGTGAAAAAATTTTAAAAACCCTTCAATGATTATTACCTTCTTCAAAAGAGAAACTAAAAAATTAAAACCTTTACTCAACAATTAAGTCAGCAGATGCCTCTTTAGATAAATTGAGGAAGAAAAACACACAAATACTCAATGATCAGTGGCATGTGGAAAAGAATGTGAGTTTAAATATATCATTAGAAAAAAAAATGCAATAAAATTCAAGGATTTTTTTTGGGGGGGGGGGGGGCACATTATTTGACAGGAGTATCTAAAATATTTAGAAGACCCAATTTGGTTCTGAACTGTAAAGTTACATGAACTTCCATGTTAGTATTGAAAAATGAAAATCTCAATGAAACAAAACTTCTTTCTTTAACATAGAGATTTTATAAATTGTTCCCATTGTACAGGACCGACTGGACAACTCGTGATGACTTTGACCGTGCATTACGGTGACTGTATCGGGCTCATTTGCCCTCCCCTCCCCTCCCCTCCCCTCCAACCAAACCCTAAAAGAAGGAAAAGGAAAGACATAAATATGGACCATCTCAAGAAACCGGAATTCGTATTCATCACAAAATGGCTACCCTATAATCCAACTATTAACCATACACAATCAAGAAAAAAGCGATCAATAAGCAGACAAGTCAAATGGAGAAACCTCATGCCCTCCCAGCTCATGAACTCTGACAGCTTTGACCATTTTCGGCGGCGAAAGACAAGCTTCTGCAGTAAGCGTTCTGAGAGATGGTTTAACGGCGGCAGGAACTGATAAAATTAAAGACCGCGATAAATGGAGGTAGCAAAGGCTATTTGTATCTCTGAGATTCCGCGAAACAAATTTGGAATTTTGAGGAAAGTGGAACTTGGGAATCGGCTGTGCCGGTGAAGTTGGTAGAAGAGGCGGCATTCTATGGGTGTGGATAGAGCCGGGTATCACGGCCGGCTATTCAGGGCTGGCGGGCTTAAGGACCGGCCCTTCAGGGCTGGCGGGTTTAAAAGGGCCTGCCCTCCAGGGTTGAAATTTTAAAAATACCCTAATTTCTTAGGCCCGGCCCTTAAACTACAGGGTCAGGGCCGGCCCGCGAGCTTTTGGCCCGTTTAAGAAAAAATACTATTTTTTATATTTATCATATTTTTTTATAAAAATATAAAAATAAACCAATGAAATTAGTAATAAAAGACATAAATATGAATAAAATTAAGTCACAAATATAAAATATTATCATATATAAATATTCATCAACATCTAAGAACATCTAAAACATTCATTAACAAGATAACAACATCTAAAAGTTTTATCTATAATGCAATTGTGCAATAAATAAACACTATCATTAATCTTTTGAAACTTCATCATCACTATAATTAATTATTTTTCTTCATAAGTATGCTTTTTTTCGTAACAAAAATATCAAGTTTTTCTTCTTTATAAGAATTTTATTTTTAAATTTTGCAATCTAACTATTATTTTACTTTAATGTGAGAAACATTGTTGTTGAAACTCATGAATTTCTAATTCAAATTATAGAATCACAAGTTATATAAGTATAAAAATATTCTATTATCAAATATATATATATAGTTTAAAAATATCAACGCATATAATATAAATCAAATCATTATTAAAGTCCAAATTAACCCATTTTTTAAAAATTTAATTGGATAAATTATTGTCTAAAACTAAATTTAATTTTAAAATGATAATAATAACTAAATATTTGAACTATTATTAACAATGTAAAAAATTAATAACATTAATATTATATAAAAAAAATTAAAAAATAAAAAAAATTATAAAATGGTTTAAAAAGGCCGGCCGGCCCAGGGTCGGCCCTTTTAAGCCCTCGGCTCTCAAGGGCCAGCCCTCCAGGGCTTATTTCTTATTTTAAGAGAAAAATATCAAGCCCGGCCCTTATAATTTCAGAGCCTAAAAGGGCTGGCCGACGGGCTCGGCCCGTTTTCCCGGCTCTAGGTGTGGAGTTTTATAAATCTAGAAAATGATATTTCTCTAAACATCAAATTAAGGTCCACGCGGTCACTCACCAACCGCCAATCGTTCGGTTTGCTGTCTCGCGTGTTTGAAAACTTGAAGGGCCAATTTTGTTTTTTCCTTACGATTTGTGAAATGTCAAACCAAAGCTGGGACGACCAATCCCAATACGCCATGATGATGATTTGAAATTTTTACAAATTCTTTTGAGATTTTTAAAATTTAAGTGTTATTTTTGTGCAATTGTCCCTACCATTTAAGTGAAGAAGCTATTGAAGTAATTTATTATATTTATCAAAATAACCAGAATTTATTATCAATTTATCATCAAAGAACAATTGAGCGTCCTTTTGAGATTTTTAAAATTTAAGTGTTATTTTTGTGCAATTGTCCCTCCCATTTAAGTGAAGAAGCTATTGAAATAATTTATTATATTTTTCAAAAAAAACAAGAATTTATTATCAATTTATCATCAAAGAACAATTGAGTCTCAAATAGTATAACATGCAAGGATCAAAAGTTGCAATTAAATTTTTTAATCAATTGCCAAAACACCATTCCCTAATTTAGTTATCTATCAATTAAAACTTTTAATATTGATCATAATTTTTTGTATGATTGTTAATATTGATCATTGTTTTACATAGGTGATGAAGATATGGACATTACTGACCCTCCACCTTTACAAGATGATGTTGTTGCTCCTGCTTTTCCTCATCTAGCTGTTGATATCTCAATCCATGCCAATGATCTTAGTGATAATTTTGATTTTCCATAGTGAAGATGTGCATTTCATTAATATTTGCTTGGTACTATTAAACATTAAACCAACTTTTGTAGCTTCTCATCTTTTTTTTAGTGATTATTATTTATAAATTTTGTTTCATTTTAATATTATGAATAAAATTATATTATTTTAATATGACTGGTCTGACCCCGGTTCAACCTCGATTCGACTAGTAACCCTTGACCCACTGTCTTGACCGGTTTAATATTCGGTCCGGTTTTTTGTTCGTTGATTAAAAGTAATGGTTAAGGTGTAAATTTATCCTAAAAGTTTTCACTCCAGAGCTCTATATATCTAGAAGTTTTTTTTGGAGCAAATTTGTACTGAAAATTTCAAATTGTAGCAATATTACCTCATGTCGTTAAAAAACTAACGTTAATTGTTAAAATCGTGACAATGACTGCTAGCATTTTTAACAATAGAAGGCAACATTACAACGATTTTAAACTTTCAAGACAAGTTTGCTCCCAAAAAAATTCTAAATAATCAGTTCTCCTGAGTGAAAACTTCTAGAATAAATTTGCACCTTAACCCTAAAAGTATAATACAAAGTAAGACCAATAAGAGGCTACAGATGATATCACCTAGATAAATGAGTTTTATTTTTCTATTTTTGTGAAAGTCAGAATTCCACATACATCTCCCTTATTTATGTGTTTGTGATGAGCACAAGCTCAAAAGAATAACATAATTTTAAAAGACTAGCCTACTAAAAAGGAGAGCCTCAATGTGGTTTACATATGTAGCCCTCTCTAGTTGGCTAACTCTTAATAAAAGCATCAATATGTAATAAGCACAAATCTAAAGAGAATGCTCAATTCCAAAAGACTAGCTTATTAAAAGTGAGAACCTCTTGAGCTTATCAACCTACCATACTTATAAGTCTTCCCAATAGAGGATTTATGATAGCGTTGTTAACCCATATATCTTGTCTCACTTTCAAAAATATTTGTCTGGGTATAAAATATTTGGTAGTAGGAGGATGGAGATATCTGCTACTTTAGGGCTGGAAGGTAGTTAGGTTTATCAGAAGTTGCAATTTGTGCCTTATAGTCAGAATAAAATGCTACTTGCTCTTATTCACACTCAAAAAATGTTGTAGTTTATCTTTGCAAAAGGTATTATAGAATAATTGGGAAGGATCTTGCTAACCATCAAAAGCCCATATAGGAATATTTTGCAGCTAGTTTAGGGACCGCGTAGCGTGCCTGTACTTTGTCAGATAGTAGTGTTAGGTATAAGGTCTTTGCTTTCTAAGTTATGTTTCTTTTCTGTAACGTAATAGTTCATATCAATATATATAACAGATATAACTTCACTTGTCCACCCCATATTTATTTGAGTGCATGGTTTCTTTTCTTTTTTGTTTTTTTTCCCCTTAATGAAAAGGAAGGAACTACTGCATATTCAACAGAGATGCATCTCTCTCCAATAAACCAATAATATAAGTCAGTGCTTTAGCGAAATATGAGCGATCAACGCTAGCCGTAAGACCTTTCTAGCAAGAAGATCAGCCACCATATTTTCTTCGCCCTTGCAAAGCCTCAAACCAACATGCTACAGTCTTGACAAGAGACTTCTGACTTCCCCAAAAACAATGATTGGAGTGGTCATCAGAGACCCCATCATTGGCTCTATTTATATCTTCCAGACAACCATTCTCAAGGATTAGGAATTGATGACCTCGCTCCCAAGTAGGGGGGAAATAGGCCAGATGGCCTGTCAGGTGCCTATGGCCTGGCCTGTAAATGGCCTGGCCTATTTAGTTATCAAAACAGGCTCAGGCCTGTAAAGAGGCCTGTTTACTTTATCAAGCCAGGCTCAGGCCTGATAATAAGCCTATTGAGCCTATCAGGCGATATGGGCCTGTTATCTTTTTTTTTTTTTGTTAAAATTGTAAATGGACAGGAGGGAATCTGCTATTATAATTGATTAATTGAGAAAAATCCACCCCATAGATGTGTTATCGAGAGCTCATTACATGCTTCATTTCATTTCTATTCTCTATAATAAAAACAATTGATGCACGTATAATGACACATATTTGAACAAGAAAGAAAACATAAATGCATTAAAAAAAAAATAAAAGCATCATTCATTTATTTGATCCATGCTTTTCATGTTAATCTTATATAGAATATATATAATTGACTTATTATGTTTTAGACTGTATATATGTGTGCTCGATCTAATTCTTATTATAATAGTTGCTCAATTAATTTAAATAAATAAATAAATTATAATAAATGTAACATATTTTTTTAAAAACAACTATGTGTAATAACAGGATAAAATATCATGTTGTTTGTAAATTAATTTGAACGAATGATAAATTTAAAATATAAAGGGGATTAAGGATGTTTCATATTTTAAACTAGATCTAGTCATCAACTAATTTTTATGCTAAAGATGGGATGGATAATATTTTTATACTAGAGTGAAATTATGTTTTCTAATAATTTTTCATATTTGATTTTTTTTGGGCCTAAAGGGACACGTTTTACAAATTATGCTAATTTGATAATTTCATATTTTCTGTTTGTATTTTAAATAAATTGGGTTGAATTATTCTAATTTTGAAATGATTTATGTGTGTTTGAAATTTGTTAAAAAAAGGGGTCTTTTAACAGGTTGTAGCCCAAGCTAGGCCTTATTACAGACCAGGCTCAGGTTGAACAAAAGGCCTTTCACAGGCTGCAAGCCAACAGGCCTTATCACAGGCCGGGCCTGTTAAGGGTAAGGCCTAGCCTGACTTGGCCTGGCCTGTTTCCACCCCTACTCCCAAGCGAGCTTTAGTCCCATTAGAATCTCCCAAACCTCAACTGTCAAACTTGAACCCAGCCATATGCGATAAGTGAACCCCATTTTGAACCTGTCATTAGCATCACATAGAACTCTACTATAAGCACCCCTCCTCTGCTAGTAATCATAAGCTCCATCTATATTAAGCTTGTACATGTCACTTAAGGGAGGGCTCCACTCTTAGCTCAAAACTCTTTTACCAACCCCCATAGATGTAAGCCACACTTATGCAAGTGAAGCTCTGGTTTGAGCATAGACCTTTATAGGACTTCATGCCAAATTATTGAAGATGAGTGCATTCCTTGATAACCATAAAAGTTTATAACTCACCA